ACTTTTTCTGATATTTCTGTGCTGAATACATAATAAGTAATAATTCATTAACACTGCTCACTTGCCTGTCCTCAATCAAGCCTTGTGTCAATATTAATCAGTGCGTGGCGGCCTCGCACAGGAGCACCTATAAGCTCTCAGAGGGCAGCACAACACAAAAAGTCCTATCCATGACAACGCTGGTCTGAACAAGCCCCTCCCACTGACAGCTGGCTTATTGTGTGCTGTGCCTCTGAGGCAGCCTTGTTTCCCTTTGCTTGGACAGTTCAATAACTAATCTGAATGCAGCCAGCAGCATGTAGCTTTGAAAATGAGGAGGGCAGGCCCGATGGAAAGTCGTAATCTGCTTGTCAGTGTTGTGTCGGTTGGAGGGAGGTTAGCTTGTCAATTCACATGAGGATTCATAGGTGGGTCAGAAACAGTGCACACACCTTGGCTGTACAATATGACAGTTAGAGCAGAATGATATTTTAATATTTGCTTTGCAGTTAGTGTCTATGTTTTGCTCTTGAGTAGCCATGTCCTCGAGACAATTTTTCATGCATTTTTAACCAAAATGTCCCACTGGATTAACACCTTTCTTTTTAGTTATCAAAATTAAAAACCACACTGTTTTATTCAGCCAACATCTCTGCACAGGTCTGAGGGAGCACATTTGTAACCTATTTTAGCATTTGAATATTTGTGACATTTAATCAACAACTTTTCTTTCAATTTCTACAGAATAATGTAATAAAATTAGTTATATCAAAGGTTATCGCGGCACGTTTGCAATTATTTCTTCCCAAGATTACAAATGACATTTTGATCTGTCATTTCATTGCAACCCCCATAGTAATGAAACTGAAAAAGGGCAATAGTTGGGTCTCCATCCTTCAGTTCATTAATCCGTCTGTCATATCTCAGACACCCAATTTTGACTAAGCTCAGTGGGAAGGACACATGTCAACAAAACTATACTAATTAGCTCAAAAAAGGCACCGTATGCACTCCCTTCGGTTCAGTGTGTGAAGGAGATACGGTAGCATCTGTGACATTAAATCATTATGTTTGTTATGTGCTATTTAATTCAAGTTCAGTCTAAAAAGTGATGGTATTTTTTATTTCGTGCAGATAATGGTGTTGTCTAAAGTCTATTCATTTGTTTAGCCCACCAGTACACCACACATTATCATCAGACTTAGACAAAACTTGAATGAATTATGCATTACGACCAGAGCACAACAGATCAGTTAAGAGCATCTGTAACAATATCTTTGATAAAACGTACTTAAGAGCACATTGACCTGTCGAGTCATCGCTCAGCCAACGGTTACTTGCAATGACAACATCTGAACAGCACTCACAGCAGAACAAACAGTGGATGTCCCTGATGTCACAGCACACAGGGCACGCGAGCGGCCCCCTCCCTCCGTCACATGTAGGCTAATGAACAGCAGGCCCGTGCTGTTGATGGAGGAGCCTTTTGGACCACAAGAACCATGTCTACACACCACTTTCTGCTTGGACACACACAAACAATGGGACACGTCTGGAGTGCTTGGGGCCCAAACCCTGAGGAAGGGCAGATGGTGCCCGGGATTGAGGACCGCACCCCGATTAACATGAGAAAAGAGAGGGACAGAGGCGGGGGGAACAGGTACCCTCTCTCCTATTTTCCCCCTCAATAGAGATTAGAGAGGGGGTGACTCATTTACCCAACAGAGTCTATGGCACTGGAACCCAATTAGGAGCAGGCTGTCAACTCAACAGCAGACAATATCAAGTGTGAGGATCCTTATCGAAGTCCTATCTATAGTTTTTTAGTATTGTTATCCAATATCAAGAGTTTTAGGACATTTTATTTGGCTTGTGCCATATTAGCTATAGAGTAACTGATTCAAGATAATATTTTAACAACATGATAGATGAAAAGAAAATATTTTAGTTATATAAAAAGTATATTTGTATGTGTTTCTAAAGTGTTTTGACATGTGACAAAGATTGCTGTAATTTTTTAATGGATAAGAGGTCGTATGATGGGTTTTTTAATCCAGCTATTAATTGAGTTATAGTTTAAATGCCAGCAGGAGGTTAAATCAGTACATTACAGTACATTTTTAATCTGCATAAATCTCAGATTTAAGTACATCCTGGGTTTTCATGTTGTTAAGAGAGATCTGCAGCTGGCCATGGCTAGAGTTAAAGCTGCTATTATTTGGTAATATACAGTATGAGCTGTTAAAAACAAGACTATCCAGTACCAACTATTAAATCACTTTAGATTTTCCTGAATGTTTCTGGGTCTGGTAAAGCTATTTCTCATCATTATGAAACCCCTGATGATTTAGAGAAAGTCGGTTTCAGCCTATAGTATCAGTAAAAATAAAATGTTCTTACAGATTCATTTAGCTTTTCAAAACAAAAGCTTGCCAGATTCCTTGAGGGCTGGTAGTGTTATCCTTTCTTTCCACTGGAGGCATCTTTTACCTAAAAACATAAACACTCCTGTTGCCACAGCTGCATATGCTGGAGCCTCTCTCCGGGTGGAATGAGGCCGCTCTGTTGTTTTCACTCATGAATCATACCCTACCAACCGAGGATTTTTTTCTTAAAATGTCTCCCTTTATCTCTTTTATTTTAGAACAAAAACAACTTATTGGGGAAGTTGAACTACAACATTTTCAGTGTACAGTTTCAAATTTGCAGCAATACAATAATGAAATCATTATGATTCTCACCACACAGTGTGATTAAAGAGAAGAGACTGGAGAGAAAGAGGAAGAGAGAGAATGTAAATACTGCTAAGGTGCATTTCTGTAGGTGTACAGCAGTGTTAAACTCATATTCTGTCTCCCCCTAGTGGCTACTTGGAGGACAAGCGTCAAAACACCAGTAACTCCTGCTTTTGATCACCTTCAGCACAGTATCTCTATATCTATAAATATGCTGGCCCACACGGATGAGAAGAAATAATTTACTTAATTGCAAAGACTCTGGGAAAGGTCTGGCCGTGCCCTCTTCCCTTCCACTTTAAGAAATAACCGCAGGAGACAGTGGAGCAAGTGCTGTGAATATCACTTTCATGGAAGATTTGGGTTTAGCCATGCATTTCATATTAATGAGCTGGTCTGGATGGGTTACTTTCAACTTATCAAATGTGAACTTTTGTGAATTTGTGAATATTGTGAACTTTAAACCTTCATTGTACTCAAAAAGAAATATTTTCTACAAATGATAATAATAATAATTCTATTCTAGATTTAACTGTATCCATTTAAACTCCACCACAGTATTTTTTTACTCCCCAAATATTTTCACCTATTTTGCACTCATCATGATGAACCACCCTGATGACATACTTTAATAGCCAAAAAATAGCCCTAAAGGATATAAAGCACAGTGTGCTGGAGATGAGTTGTGTGATCATTTTGAGTTGTGTGATCATTTTAATTTAATTTTAAATCATTGTTTTGAAGGTCAAACAGCCTTGCACCCTGTTGTGTGTGTGTGTTTCCAAAGAAAGAGACTGACATAACTGCTAAATGTAACTAAATTGCATATATAAAACTTAACACTTGAGTGACTATTCTGACTATTTTGAGTGACTATTTCAGGCCTTTCTCCTTTTAAACCTTAATTCCGATACTTCAAAATGTTCCGCAAAGTGCCACTTGAATATTATCTATATCACTATGGTGGAAAACTTTCATCCCTCACCTCCAGGAGGTTTAAATTCAGATCACAAATAAAATCTCTAAAATTCATTTAGAGAATTTGTTTGGCTTCAGCAGCACTCACAAATCTGCTGCCCCAAACCAGGACCACTATTTATCTTCAACCGGAGGGCCAAACATCGGCCTTCATCTCAGGGTTTGATAAAGGCCGATGGCTATAATATTGTGGTAAACCAACAGCAATTATGTGCAGATGGAAGTGACAAGAAGGCGACCTGCTACCTCAGCAAGATGTCCTCTTAGTTCACATCCAGAGCTCTAATATTAGGCTTACTCTAGACTCTGGTCAGGGGAGCAATGATAGGGTGAACAAGCCTACCTTGTAGACTGTGACCTTGCAGCTGACTGTGAAGGTGTCATTAAAACCAAATCACCAACAAGTGGTTTGTGGGTTGTAGCCACAGCTGCGACGCTGTGGTAAACAAAACAACCAAGATGTCTTTGAGTTTAAAGTGGACAAATAGTAACACCCAGAATTTGGCAATGATTTTGTGTGCAACCTTACCATGAGATTAAAGTTCACCTTGTATACCCTCCAAATTACACAGGTCACTCCTCCATCTGAGCAGAGAGAACACAACAGTGTAAAAAAAATTAATAATGATGATTTAACCACCTTAATTTAACTGCAAGATCATTCAGTTTCATTATGGCTGCTCAAAAAAACAAAAAAAATCTAGTCCTTATATATGCACATTGCATTTTAGCACCAGAAATGATGAAATCTTTTCAAATGAATATAAGGTTTGGGGAAGACTTGCAATGTGGTAACTAGAATATTTAAAAAGAAAATGTTCCTGCTTGTGTGTTGTTGTGTTGACCTGTAATAAAAACATAAACTGTATATTTGAACTCACACATATGAACAGTAATAACTACATTTTGAGTTATTAAATATATATATATATTTAAATATATATTAAAACAACAGGCCTAACCTTACTATATAAATGGATACAAATATAACACCAGAATGGTGATGTTAGGGCTAAACCAATGACTGACTGATGATTGATTGACAATAAAAGTTATTTATGAAGGAAAAACACATACTGAAATGTTAGAATTTGCAGCTTTTTTTCTCGGTTTGAACTAACTTGTGACTTTATTTCTTGATCTATTTTTACATGTATAACTACTACAAACTAAACAATTAATCCATAAAATTTTTTTCACAACAATGACTTATTAATCGACAACAAATCTGCAGTCTCAGCCCCCCATGCGGCCCGAAGAGCCTCATTGTAAAATCCTAGACACGGAGTCCTCCTCCCAGTCAGAGATCCCCGCCCCAGTCATCTTGGGCTGCAGCTCGGAGCCCGGATGCGCCGCCATGCCGACTCTATCAGCGAATGGAATAATTTATTCACCAACCTGCCTGACACTGGGCGACTAGGAGTTCACAGAAGAAGTCGACAAGACAGTTTGGAGGGCACAGGGGCCCTTCGCCGCGGACAGACTTAGCACGGGATATCCGCGCCGTGTGTGCTCGCGTTGCCGGCCACCGTTGTGTCGATGTAGTTAGAGACACTTGTGTGCTAGCTACGAGGCTAACGTTAGCTCGAGTGGGGGAGAGAGTGCGCGGCAGTGACAGTCCGGCCGGAGGCGGGGAGAGCCGAGGTGAGACTGCTGCTCTGATGGTGACTGCACTGTTGACTGTACGCGAATAGGTGGCCATCTGGTAGGTAGTATCACTTTTATAAATGTGACTCGCGTTTTTTAATGGGCGAGAGGAGAGAGAGAGAGAGGGTGTGGGGGGTTCAGGCAGCAGCATATCGAGGTTGGGTGCTGGACTGTTTCTCTAATAACGCGTTTTGTCCGGACTGGAGCTCAACGTTTAGTCGACGTTTCAGTCTTCTGGCCCGCGATAGAGAGGCTAGGAGCTAGCTTGCTAACTAAATAACTGTCCAACAGCGGGACTACTAAACTTTTCAGGTCAGTAACCTCTGAGTAGACGTGCTCCAGATCCCCAATCTCATAATGGTTTAGTCCCAGAGACTGTGCATCTAAAACGGACACTTTTGTTAAGTGTTGTAACACTATGTTGGGAAATAACCGTGTAAAGTTATCTGGCACATCTTATGGGAATTCAAAGTGACTGAGCACGACATGAACTTTGAACACCTTGGGGGTGCAGGTCTGCAGGAGTTCAGCATAGCATTGGTTTGAGTGACTTAACTTTGTGGTTGCAGCAATAGGGTGGCACCTCTTTTTGTGTAACATCATTCACCTTACTTTAAAGGATTCATAACACATACTTTAAAGCAGTATTTTAACGTTTTTTTTTTAATTGAACCGATGTTATTTTTATCTTTCAGATCCAGAGAAATTTCCATGTCTGCATCAGCTCTGGAAACCAGAAGAGATGTCTGTTGATGAGGATACCGTGAAAACTGGCAGTCCACAGGCGAGCTCGACGTCGTCCCTGCAGCTCTCAGAATGCACTGGAGGTTACAACACTATATCTGTGGTGGTGGAGGGTACAGCAGCCACCCCTGATTTTGCAGCTGCGTGTCCCGTCCTGGGCACTGCAGCCTCGCCAAAACACACCAGCACGACCGACACGCTTTCTCACTCCGACGACGCCGGGCAGAGAGCCGGCGGGAACGAGAATAACATCAATCGCAGGAACAGCTTTCATCATTCCAAACAACAGCAACAAACGAAGCTCACAAAGCGACGCAACACAGCGAACACTAGCTTCAAGCATCCGACATCCGGCAAGAGGAGACGAAGGGCCAACTCTGAGAGTGACTCCGTCCTGCCTACCAACTTCCTCCTGGGGGGGAACATTTTTGACCCACTGAATCTCAACAGCCTGCTGGATGAGGAGGTCAACAAGGCACTGAATGCAGAGACTCCCAAATCCTCCCCGCTGCCGGCAAAGAGTCGAGACCCCGTAGAGATCCTCATCCCCAGAGACATCACAGATCCACTGAACCTGAACAGCGGGATAGCAGACAGCAGCTTTTTGGTGTCCCCCTTCAAAAGTGGTGGCAGGAAGAGACACCGCAACAGACACCATGGTGGAGGAGGTGGAGGAGGTGGAGGAGGAGGAGGAGGAGGGGTTGGTAGTGGGATTTCAACCACACAGATCAACCTCTCAGAATCAGGAAAAAGTGAGGTTAAAACCGGCACCTCCACACCGCTTCCAGGTATGTTGGCTTCATGTTCTGCACTAGACGTCTCCAAAGAGTCCAACAGTTTCTCCAGTGTCACAGGGGATTCCCACGAGCACTCCACTGACAACTCAGCCAGCTGCAAGGAAGAGACGACGTCTGTATCTATGGAGGATTCCGCTTTGTCCGTATCGGGGGGGCCCAACCAGCACACAAGCAGACGCAAGCGCAGGCGCAACTCCGGTAAGATGGAGCTCCCTGTGACTCATTCTACGCCGATTGGAAAGTCGGGATCTGGAGACAGGAGTTATGGTACAGGGGGACAGAGATATTCTCAGTCCTTTCACACACCAAGGATTGGACCCAAACCGGGGCCAGGAGGTCGCCAACACCAGCAGCCCCACCACCAGGCGAAGGAGCAACAGAAGAAGAAGTTCCAGTACGGGAACTACAACAAGTATTATGGCTACCGCAACCCAGGAGCCAGTGAAGACCCACGGGTACGCGTGCTTCGTCCAGAATGGTTTGAAGGTAAAGAGGTTCTGGATTTGGGTTGCAACTCAGGCCACCTAACACTCTATATCGCCAAAGTGCTAAGACCTGCTCGCATATTGGGCCTGGACATTGACAGCGCTCTGGTTCATGCGGCGCGGAAGAACATCAGACATTATCTGTCTGAACTGCAGACTCAAGAGGCCAGGCGTGCTGAGAGGAATGGAAATGGGAGTCACACAGGCACAGACAAGAAGCACAATGAAGCTGAGAGCAGGGATGAAAACGGGAGACCAGTGAAAGGAGAAAGTGGCCCTGCAGAGGCTGTAAATGACAATGGCTCCTGTCAGACAGACGAGGCAGGGGCCCAGAGGCAGGACAGCAAAACAGAGGAAATGGAGCAGGAAGATTGTGATTCACCCCCTGCTGATCACTCTGTGAGCTGCTCTTTTCCTGTGTCCCTTCGGATCTCCAGGGGGCCCATCGCTGCTCCTCCACTAACAGAAACATCCACCGCTCGGCCCGGGGAGTTCCCCGCAAACGTGTCCTTCATCAAGGTAAGATGAACTGTGTCAACGTTTCAGTCCCAGCGTGTGTGAGGGGCAAGACAAGATCAGTATGACACAATTAGACACTTCCTGCATTATGTTTGCATCATATATATATATAACAGCATGATGTAAAAACAAAAACAAAACTAGCAAAAATGCACCTAAAAGCTCAACACAGAGCAGCAGAGGTTTGTTACAGGAAACACTCTGAGGTCAGACTGACTTCACAAGAGGACTTGATACAAATTATGCGCCCACTTGTTCTCCCTGGATGGGTTAATGATAATTGTCTTGCCTCTAAATTCTAATCACATTTGCGTGAATAGATGCATTGTTGAGAAGTTTTGACAACTCAGCACATTTTAAGATATATTTGGAAACCATGAGAAATTAATTTAGTGCATTTTTTTTTTTTGTTTAACAAAAGCTACTCTGCTTCTAGTCATAAGCACTTAGGTTTCTCCCCTCCTCGAAGTTAATTAAGATATATATATATATATAAAGCAATCAATCAAGAATCTTTAAGGCTTCGAGCCGCTAATAAGGAAGCATCCAGACCACTTTTATTTTCTGAGTCACTTTAATTATTTTGAGTTTATTGTCACTTCCACTAGTTTGTCCACCCGTACGTTTGCGCACCTCACTGTGTGTTTTACCAATCAGTTCACTATTCTCTTAAGCTGCCAGTCATGTTGGGAACTGAAAGATGGAAGCGGAAAAGGGGAAGCAATCTGTCCTCTTCACCAGATTGATGATGATGGCATCGGCCTCTGGCATACCACTCTTGGTTGCGAACTTGACACACATGACGGCAGCTTTTCTCTCATAAATCCACTCTAAACATTCCTCGCTCAAGGTTTTATTATTGTCGTTTGTATCGAAGTACCCCACATCCCTGGCCTTGGGCCTTACAGGCTTTGTGTAGGCAGCTACATGAATTGGTAGATGCAGAAACTGTAGTGTTTCTGAATGAAATCAATAACCGCCTCCTCCCTGCTATGAGCATTAGTGATAATGGCAGTGTAGCACAGAGCTTATCCCGTAAATGAGTGAAAAGCCTCAAGACGAGTGCCTGAGCCCCCTCAGCCTGCACAATACAAGATGGATTTTGGGGTAGAAATGTCAGGCGGCGTATTATTCGTATGACAAACCTACCCTGGTATCAATGTGTGGAAAGTTGTGGGGAAGCATATTTGATTAAATATTGCAGGTGATTTCTTTTATTTTTTATTGCTACATTCTCACCAGTCCGGAAATGATATAATTACCAAAAGTAGTTTCAGTGATTACGAGAAGGACCCTTTGTAGCCTGTCTTGGATGCGTAATAGACCAAGCTATTGGTAGTAACACCTGTGCTTTTCTTGATGTGACATTTAAAAGTACCTACAGTGAAAAGTGGTCGGCTCTGGTAATCAAGTTACCCAAACTTTCTCCTTTTTCTTCAGTTTGATCCAACTCGAACACTCTCCTTCTGTTTCTCCTCAACTCTGTAGTCCTGTCCTCTGTTCTGCTTTTTGTCATTCAGCAGCAGTAATGTGTATGAGTCTACGCTTGGCTCGTTTGTCATATCTGGCAGTTATAGTATAATCATGAATATCTGTGTACTGTAACCCGCAGTACTGTGACTCCCTGCCTTATTTATTCTTTACAGTCGGTAATGGCGATCATAGGATGTGAACCTTTGCTGCTGTTGCACTCATCTGCTCTATGTTAGGGCTGCAAGTAGTCATCATTTTCAGTATTGATCAATCAATTGTTTTGGATTAATGATTTTCTTTGTATAAAATGTCAGAGAGACTACATATATAGAGGATATAAGTTTGATCGACAGTGATTTTATTTACAACAGTGTGAAACAGAAAAGCTCTTTGTCCAGATATGAGAAGTAGGAGCCAAGTTTGGCATTTTTACTTGATAAATAACGTTGAAATGATTGATTATTTATCATACAAGCTCTTTGCAGACTGATCTGCTCACAGGCATTCATACTAGTCTTTGTAAGTCTAATGGTTTTAAAGAGCAGCAGTAAAGTTTGGTGGGTTTTTAATGCTCAGCTGCTCCTGTGTTTGTATGTTGCACAGCCCTGCCACCAGCCTGTACTGGAAGGTCCCTTAAATCTTTGTAAGAGCCAAAGAGTCAGTATAATATAAAATGTTGTTTTAATATATAATTATAGGATGTTTTTCAAAATCTTACCTCTAGGTTCTCACTGTTTTTTATTAAAAATAATATTTGCCTATCAACGATAGTTTTGCATTCTGACCTGAAATTTGCCTGAAATGCAAGTGATGATTTGTAGATGTGTGGGTTGACCTGCACATCACTGCACTCTAGTGTCCAATAGACCCAAAATAAAATGTTAGACATTTTCATGAACATCATTTAAATTAGATGTTCAGATATCAGATTCTCAGCGGTGGCCATGCCCATAATGTGTGTATGTTTCAGAACAAGTTTCTACCTGTCATATACCAAGATAGTGTTCTGTCCTGTTTTCTCACTGCAACTCACTGCTTCTCTCCTTAAGGCCAATTATGTACTGGACAACGATAATCTTCTTCTGACTCAGCGGCCAGAGTACGACGTGGTCATGTGCCTGAGTGTTACCAAATGGGTTCACCTGAACTGGGGAGACAGTGGCCTCAAGCGGCTCTTCAAGAGAGTCTACAGACATCTCCGTCCTGGAGGCTTGTTCATCCTGGAGCCACAGCCCTGGGAGTCCTATGTGAGGAGGAAGAAGCTAACAGTAAGAAACTGAGTTAACTTTTGTAACTAAGCAACAAAAAAAATGCCTGGGATTTCCAAGGTGCACATTCTGATTATAAAGCTTGTTTTACTTATTTAAAATATTTGTTTTCCCTTGACAGGATAATATTAGCAAGAATTTTCACAGCATCCGCCTCAAACCTGAGCAGTTTCCGTCGTACCTTACAACAGAGGTGGGCTTCACCAGTTTTGAGTACCTTGGGACCCCCAAGTGTTCAATAAGAGGTAATCCAGTTATTTGTCAGAACAAATTCACACATTATTATGTTATCCACCACTGTAGCTTGATGTCATGTTCAACTTTTCTTTTCATCACAACAGGTTTTCAAAGGGCAGTGTACTTATTTCACAAATGACCGCTCCTGCCTTGAAGATCTTTGAATGTGAGTAGCCTAACACCACCACCATACGTACAAGCCAGCCAGCTGCCCTGGACTGCAAGGAATCCTCTGAATCCTTAACAGTTACTCCAGCTACTCAGATGCTGAAGATGAAATTCGGAAAGGAGAACAGGACCAAAAGTGGAATTCATTTTGGAAAGGTGAAATCTGTCGAGACTAGGCACCTAGCAGAATCCTCTGGGACTACAAATTCTTAAAATATGGAGTGAACTCAGATAGGACTCTAAACGTCACACAGGTTGTGGAATAGGGGCTCATCTGATCATTTCTTTGGACTATCCTAGTGCTAATGATGCCTCAGTTTGATGCACGGCCATAACGTGTTTAAATATCTTGGGCCATATATCTCTACTTTCATAACTTTGTTCTGTGCCACCACACCACCATACATACATTATACATGTTAGGGTTGGGCGATAGGGCAGACATTTCCCAATTGGCCACAGTCATTGCTTTCCCTGGCGATTGATGGTGGATTTACCACATTAGTTCCATGTGACCAACTGTGTGTGTTGCATCTGCAAAGGTGCAGTATACCACTGGATTACAAAGCCGTTATTAGATCCTTCTGACATGATGTCTCCTGAAAAGCCACACTGGAGTGCATGCAGTGTGTTTTATCCCTGGCTACTCTTGTAGTGGTGCAATATTTGTATCACTTTTGAAGTCTTGAATCCTGTTGCGGCAGACATATAAATGCACATATTTTGATGAATTTAAAGCAGCTAAAACAAATTCCATCAGGCTCAGATTCAGTCTGTCACTATTGCATAATTTGTCCCATCTCCCGACCCTAATATATAGTTTGTTTTGTCATTGTTTTGCAAAATAGGCCTAAGAGCTGAATTAACTGTAGTGTGTTACAGAGCTGTGAAAATGTACAAATCCACATTTTGGAAATGGACAATATGGAAAGCTCCTAAATTGCACAAACCTAAGATCCTATGAAGTGAAAAGTGTCTCGTCTCAGCAATAAAGACGATGTTGCACGAGCAGAACTCAAAACAGCCAAAACCACAAACATCCAGTGAAATAATGAACGCTTCACATCAAACAGCAAATATGTTTTCACGGTATTGTCTCGTTTTTAGTAATACTCAGTCATTAAAACACAGAGACAGTTTTTAAGTTTAGCAGGTTTTCTACCACTGGAGTACTCTTACAATGTGAAAAATCAGGTGTCTACATTTTCAAGAAAAGCATTTTGGCTATTATGAATGTAAACTTTCTACAAATCTTCAGGCCTTTGTAATTTATTTGAGAGTTTGAAGTGTTTAGGAAGCAACAAATCACTTCATGGGTTCTTGAAGCCTTTTCGATGCTCCATCCTAATGGTAGGGGGCACATTTGAGCTGTGATGACACCCTGGTGTTGGCTCAGCTCAAAATAATTCAGCACACAGACCACAAGGACTATTTTGCAAGGTAGATCTGGAGCATGCAGTGATCTATTCTTTTTTTTTTCTAATGACAGTTAAGCCATAGCCCTACCTTATGTGTTGTTTACAATGTCCTTCATGAGGTGCTGACTGAGAGTGTAATTGGGTGTCAAATCGAAGGCAGAGGCCTGTAATTACAGAGTTGCTATAGCGTTTTCATTGCTGTTTCAATCTGACATGCATAGTTTTGTGTGGTGTGATCATCACTACTGAACAGACATTAATTCAAACAGCATCAGAATGAATTGCGATGCTTTTCTAGCTCCTCAACTTCTGTAAGGCTAAACAAAAATTTACATTTGTAGAAAGAAACCAGATTGTTACTAAAAATGACTGAAATATGTCCATAGGACTTTTTACCAAATTTAGATACTAATATGCTGTTTGTATTGAAGCGCTGCCAGAATATTCTATGGGTCTTTTGCTCTTTGAATCTGACAAAATATGCCATCATCACCTTAGTCTTCGGCCTAATGAGGACAATTATGAGTTACAGGTAGTCGGTCTTTGTGATTGTATTTTTATTGGTGTGCACTGAGCGCCGCTCTTCTACAATCTTTCATTCGAAGTGGCGGGGACAGAAAATCTTCCTTTTTTTGTGACTGGTTCAATTACAGCATTTGGCATACTAGGTTAGGAAAAGATGGAGAAGATTGATGCTATATGTTTATATTTTAGTAAGTGATCAATGTAAATAAGTTTGCAAATTTTCTTTTACTGTTGTCAACATTGAGTTCATAACTGCTTTTGTCATTTTATTTTTTTTTGTCTTTTCACATGTTTGCTGCCAAGTTGTGAGTGAGTCACAGGCCAGGACAATGGGGCAGTTTTTGTCCTATATTGCTAATCCAGCTCTGTAACAACAAATGAATATGTACATTGCAAAGTTCTGATGTGTTTGCTTTGTTCTGTCCTGGCAAGCACATGGATTGTTAGATTGGCTCTTTATTTTTTTATAAACTGTTTGAAAGGAGTGTTGTTGTCAATGCACTCTCATTTCACTTCATTTGACATGTTGTTAGACATTCAAGTTCTTCAAAATACTTTTTTCCATTGAACCTTTTTAATACAAGTTGTGGAACACTGATTAACTAATTATAAAATGAAGCTTCAGTTTACATTTTGAATTGAAAGTGAATTGGCATCAACCTCAGTTGGCCCATCAGACACAGGGCACCAAATCACACCTTTCTCCTAAGCTAAGACAATCGGATTCTCAGGCTTAGATCAGCCCACTGCTGTAATTACACAGGCATTTTGCTGTATGCATTATTAACAAAGGTTTCCTTGACGCAGGTCAAATAGTGAGCATTTTATTTGAGAAACAAATTGTTTAAAGCTAAACTGTGCTTTGCCACCAATGTTAAAGATTGCACCTTACTGTCTCGGCAGCCGTTTTACCCCACTGGGCCTGAATTGTGAGTCCAGATATCCAAGCTAGAGCATATCTTTGCTGGAGATGTGAGATTACATGTTGTCATATACAGTGCTATGGAAACTTTTTGTACTCCCCTTGAGGTTTTGCACAAAGTTGTGCGCAGTCGATGTGATGTTTTTTTTTTTTTTTCTTTTTTTAGGAAATTAAATTACACAAAAAATAGGGTGCAAGAGATATGACACCCCTTGTTTCAACAGGGTTTAATGACCATGAGTTATATTGCCAATACTCTTTCAAATTTATGATCTTCATTGTATTCAGGCAAAATTTGATACCAATGGAATGCAATTTAAAGTGTAGGGTGGATTTAAGTTAAGAAGGTATAGCGTATAGTATTGAATGTGAAAGCTTTAGGGTCCACGTTTTCATGTTGCAAAGAAAACAAAAGTAAATATGACAACATAAGCTGTAGCAAAAGCACACCCTATTGTATTTTGTATTTTTACATGTTTTCTATTTACAACTTGGAACACTGGGGACCCTTTTTCCAAGTAACAGGTTAGATGAATTACAGAATCTGTCTTTTTGCTGAGACAAACATCTGTTCTGGGTTTTATTTAACAATATTATGCAGATAATTGAGTAATCCTGCTTTGTGCAACAGACCTGTCGATGCCACAGAAAGTTAACTTCACATTCAACACTATGCTCACATTTTCTACATCTTAACTCGTCTTATACACCAAAATTCCAGACTATACTATTGTAACAGCAGAGTGATTTTTTTAATGCTAACTAATGTTTAAAACCTGCAGTTACAGTCCAGTTATAAGATTTGAGCAGCATTAGCAGTAAAATGCTGATAAAGTATTTCAGAGACACAATAAATCAGACAAAACAACAGACCTACTTACCTTTGCGTATCCACTTATTTATTAGAAGTTTTTCTAGTACATAGTGTGTAGGGAAATAGTAAAAACTGGATGTCTTAAACAAATGTAGCACAACAAATGCTCAAACTCTAGGGGTGTATTATTTTCAATGGCACTAAAATTCACCTCTTTGTGTTGAATTTGCACTGATCTGACTCTGGGGAATTAAACTAGTTAAATACATTTTGCAGTTAAAGTTGATATTTTACATGTACCATAACTTTCCCTAGAATCAGTTTTCTGGAATAACTGTTGGAATAAAATGCCCCCATCTGTCAGGGAAGCTTTTAATTTTCATGCCTCTGAACAACAAGATATATCTGAATGTTTCTTTGTGTTTAACATTTTAATTGATTAAAAGTGGTTCCAGATCTGGTGGTTCAGTATTTGCTTACACAGAACCATACAAGGTTATTGAACTGTTATGTTAAATAAAGATTTTTTTGCTGGTTGGTAGACATTAAGGTATTACATTTATTTTTGGATTCATAGTAACCCAATTATACAGATTTGGTTTTCTTAGAATGCCATAATATTATTATACATCTTGCTACCTTTCACACGTTGTGTATTCAGAAGTTGCTCTGATAGGCACCAAGTAGTAAGCACTGGTTGGGGTCTGCCTATAGGTGGGCTTGTGTAAATAACATTTATTAATAACAATAGTAACATTGACAGTATATATAAGGTTAGTAACCTACTTTGAAGGAAGTGGTAAAAGTAAATCTTGTTTTCAGGTATGTTGAAAGTGTAGCCCTGTGACCTACAGCTTGTATTGTTTTCTGCCTGCTAAGTTATTTCATGCAGTTTATGTCTCATAAAAGTCCACGTGATTATCAAAGCCCTGCAATCCAAAGTGTGGTTGGAACAGAGTGGGGACACAAAGGACAAAACCTGTACATTTTAAAGCAAGCTGATACAGTATCCCAATGATTTGTCCCAATAATGTTTATTGTACAGCTATTAATCTGTACAGGTGTTACTTCTGTTGTGTGGTACAAGGCCATCAGTAACCATTTTCATTCAGATTTTTCTGCTTGTGGTTGTTGGAGAAACTTTATTTCCAGAATAATCTTATGTACATGGATTTAAACCCCTTGCTGTCATACTCCATATTGAACTTAGATGTATACCGTTTTATCCTTAAACTTAATCTTCAGATTGCCTGTCCTTCAGCAAATTTACTTCAGATTGCATGATTTACAAATGTTAGAGCAAAAGCCAAACCCTGCAGTCTACAGGAAACGAGCTCAGAAAATTGTAGTAGAAAACAGTCAAAGAGAGGGGGAAAAGAAACATTTTCTGTACATTAAGGTGACATCCAAACGTCCACTCAGAGATCCTCCGCAGGAGAACTCGCCAGAAGGACAACTGTCTCTTCAGCTTTCCATCAATTAGCCCTTAATAGTTGTAAAAGTAAAAGGCTTATGACATTCTACTTACTAACTTGGCACTAAATGGACCCTAAGAGCATGAGGAAAACGATTATCTGGTTTAATTACACCTAAGTTCAACTCTAGCCTGAATGTCAAGCACTACTTTAAATGAAAGCCAGTTTCAAATGTCCAGGTATTGCTCATCACTATCACGTTGGTGGATTATAGTGGTGGCAGATGTCTCTCAACTGGTAAAGACAGAGTGAATGATGAATGGAGCAAAAGCAAAGTTTCACCTTTGGGCATAACAACGACCAGAAAAAAAAATTCTAGATCAGGAACTCGAAGTTGTAAAAGCGTTTTTGTTTGGTCAGGCTGTAAACGTCCACAATACCATGTAGTAAGTAGGAGGCCATTTTATTTTGTTGACTTATAATAACAATAAAAACAACAACTTTAGCCTCAGAAATTAATCTCCTCACAGAAGCAGATGATAAATGTAAAAAAAATTATAATAATTCACTAAGAGGTTTATATGGGTAAATGCTCAAATGGCAGATTTATACTGTATACCAGTAGTTCCCAATCATTTGCCTTCAGAGACCCCTTTTCTATCATTTAGTAAACTGACGAGCCCTTACTAAGTGAAATATTTTATGGATATTTCATATTATATTAGAAACTTTATAATAAACCCAAATAGTGAACACAGTAACTGTGTGTAATTAGTGATTTGTATGAATTTTGAGCAGATTCTCGAATGTTTAGGGAACTTTTCATACAAATCTCTATCTGTGTTGTATATATTTTATTTTTTATTTTTAACAATCATATGTACTTAATAGGCTTCTTTTATAAATTATGTGTTTTCTTGTCCCTGGCACTTGGCCATTGTTCTATTTGACAATTTACTTTACATTTATTTTTCTTCACAGAAGTGAACCAGATGCTGAGTTATAGGCCTAATGTGTATATTTTTTACATTTCTAGCACACTTTAAAATCAAGAACACCCTATGAAGCTTTGGTTACCCCTAGTGGTGGTCCTGACCCCCAGGTTGGGAACCACTGCTGTATACTAATCTTATATAATTGATGCTATTACACATTTCTTCATTCATGTCATGTGTTTATTACTGAAATCAATAACGTTTGGGCCTATAGTATTATGAGATTTGAGATTCAGTTTGCCAGAAAACGTATTCAAGGTACGTAACAGTCACCATTGAAATATGCATTGTTAAAGGCAGAAAGAGTAGGATTTGTTGATTATGGCTCCCCTCCTTCCTGGCTCAGCATCACCAGAATCCCCTGCCCCCTAAACACCGTTGTCAGGAAACAGGCCTATGTACCACCATCAGCATCATATACCTGTGCGCTGTTATTGGCTGGGCGCTACACACCCACTGCCCAAAGGTTGACCCCCAAAAACATCCCGAACACAGCAAAATAAGAAAATACAGGAAAAGGGCCGGGTGTCAAGCAGATACAAACACCGCCACATGCTTCTAGTTGGTCATAAGTGATGATTTGTATTTTGAGTCTATACATTCTTTTTTAGGGAAAAGCCTACTCATTTAAATGTATTCCTCTCGAATGAATAATTTCTTATTAAAGTTTTCATTTTATTTTGATAAGTGACTGCATGAGAGCACCCCTAACCAGGACTCGTATTACTTGGGCTGCAATGTTAAAGGTCATAGTTGCCAGCCTGCTTTGGAGTACATTCATGTGATTCATTTGTTTTAAACTTATAAAAAAGCACCCGCAACATCTTCAAACCCTAATTTATCTACAGTAATACAGGTCTACACTGTCACAGTTCAAAAATACATCCATCCTGTAATAACTTTCTGTTTTAAGCTGTCGCTGTCAGCTTTGTGAAGACAGACTCGTGTAAACAGGTTCGTGGGGGTTTACCCCTTTGTAGTTTGGTCACGCTGCGCTGTCTGAATAGCACAAAGATTCAACCCAAATGACAATGCAGGGCACAATACAGTGGCTCATGTTTACAAATAGCATCCATGCCTTTAACACATACTAGCCAGGGCCAGTCATCAACCATCTTCAGATCCTGGCTCAGTTTCCTGACTTTCAGTAACCACACAGACAATAAAGTGATTGAATCATATAGTCAGTTTGTTTCTAGATGTCAGTATGTTATGATTAATGCTTATTGTTGTGTCAAACTGAGGTGAGTATATTTGTTTTCAGCTGACAGTCATGTTGCTTCCTAAAAAAAGGTAACCAACAAAGACATTTGTTACTATCGGAGATAGGCAGCCAAT